GCTTTCCGGCGGTAAATACATGGAATAGACCCAACCCTGTGTTCATTATTCCAACACATTGGCACATAAATTGTATCCACATCCTCCATCCATTTTCGCCCTTCCATCTGGACCGTCTTCTTTATCTGTGCATCCCATCGATGTCTCTTCTTGTCCTTCGCTTTTAGAAAAGCCCTGGATTTCCCAACAATATGATTAATCAACCAAGGCGAGGCAAAGCATCCATGTTCAATCTCCAGGGCCCTCTCGTGACGTTTGCCAAGTATTCCCATCAGAAACTCCATGTGCTGATCAGAACAATAACCGAAACTGTTACTAACAACCACATATAAGTATCACACAAAAAATAAACGGTTGTAGTCAAAGGAATCAACGAACCTGTGTTGTTATCCATTTTTGCTTCTGCGCCACATCAAGAAAAAACTGATTGTCCACTTTGCAGCCACTATTCGTAATGTGCTCACTGATACACATCCAATGCTTGTAAATATGCAATACATTACAGGTATACAAAATCCTACACATTTTATTACTCACACTTTCTTGAATGCCGAGAGAGTTTTCTTGAACAGCCCAAAATCAGCTGGTTCAGTACTTGGTATAATGTCTCGTCCCTGGGATACCAGATGCTTTTTTAGAAGTAATATTAGTTCCAACTCGGCATCCGATGGTCTGTGCTTGACAATTGGGCGCGGCGGGGACGAATCACTTACAGATTGGAGCGAAACATCACTTTCGCATTCTGAATCGTGTCCCCTGCCCTGCATCATCCAAACTGTCAATCATTAGTGTATCGACTCCTCCTACAAGGATTACTGAATCGTTTCCTAACCTGTAAGTCAGCTTCGTTTTCTATTTCTTTTATCGTGGTATCGCTTGGTCGCTGGGTTACTAGGAAGCTGAGTGAATCCAGAACAACCTGGAATCAATTGATCATTAGGTGGATTAGTGTTGTCTCGACGAATACTCATACTACCGCCCGACTGCCTATTGTTTACAATATGATGACATAGAATACTTTATCATTTCCGTCACCTACGTCTATCTCATTGACATCATCGTCTTTTCTCTTATCGAGCTCCGCTCCATCCTGTGTTACACAAACACATGATTACATACACTTTGTTTAGAAAAACAAATCATACAAAATAATCGATGTCCAGCAAACACTTACCTTGTGGGTGCTGGTCTGACAGTTAGAATTTTCCCAGACAGAAGACGTCAACGGTAATTCTTGCTCTTGTGATCTAATGCCAGCGCCATCCACCAATCGCTTACAACATGGATACGTCCAAATGGTTACGAAATTAATCTTTGTTTTCATATGTACGAAACATACTTTAATGAGCACCCTTACCAAAGATTCTTGGATCGTTTTTTCGCTCCGCTCATCCGGAACCATATTATGTTCCTCGACTTCCGATTTCTTTGAATCATCACAAGCATCGGTCATATTAGCTGACTCAATCTCCAAACACACTACTTCTCCCCCCACGTCAACCTGAAAGTGATTAACACAACCCAAATTCCTTCTCAATCGGTCTACAAAAAATTATAACGACCTCAACAAAACACTACAAAAATATTACATTCCCATAATCTTTGGTCAAACTACCAATTACATTTGTAATTATTTCGGTAGCTGAGTCGTTACATCTGTCTTCTTCGTTATCAGAAACCTTATAGAGTTCCACAAAATTAAACATCATTCTAATATTAATATCAACAACGAAAGTTCATTACCAATGTTTTCCACATTATAAATTACCTCCTTCTGTGCACCTGATGTTTCTCCAACCTTACTATCGCATCCTGCCTTATCGCTTACCAAATTTGCGACCCCAGTTGGACAGCTATCTGCATAACACATGTCCTCTGCGTCACCCTCTTCAACCATCTTGCTTGTCTCCAAGTCAGCTGGAAACACTTGATTACTAGTTCGTTCTCCCTCGCCTACTTGCTCCTGCAAATAGTATTGCACCACATCTACTTGATCAAGTACCTTCAAGGGCACATACAATCATGACCCACACAAATTAATCGACAGTGAGTGTATAGTATTGATAGCTAAATTAACAAGTATTGGTAAAGGAACAACCTAACATTACAACAAAAAAAACTATTCAAAACGCAAAACGGCGTTATTTTGATATTTATAGCTAGATTACTACTCAGAACTTACACATACCATGTTGTCCACGATGTAAGTCATCTGCGTATCACAGCAAAAAAAAATTAAATACCAACTTTAATTATGCGTAAAGTTACCCACATGGAATCTTACATATATCCTTATGGGAAATTACCTCATGTTCAACAGCATCCACCATGGAGTTTACATCTTCCCCAATGGACTGTCGTTCTACTACCATGTCCCCCTGTCAATGAACATATATCCCATCCTCTTGTTTAGTATTCTATAATATATGATGCTCTCTCAAGGAAACGACAGCAGTAATATTAGACATATACCTTCTCCTCTTCACCTTCTACACATTCTTCTCTGTTAACGGTTTGCTGACAAACGATTTTACTACCAACACTCCCATCTTCTTCCATGTCAACGCCCTCTTCGCTGTTGTCCTTTTCTCCAGCAACCGCGATTGTTTCCTGACAAGCGCTTTTACTACCAACCAAACCCTCAACTAGCATGTCCACGCCTATCTGTCCGTTATGTGATCCCTGCGCAACAAACATAGAATTATTGCAGTAACTATCACTCACAACAAGCAAATAAAACACGTAAACTAATATTTAGGACATCAAGTTAGAAAGAAGAACTAACCAATCCATCACACGCTTTGGTCACCACCTGCATAAAAACATATATATATGTACCGATTAGAATGATTTCAATCAAGTCATTTTAGCAAAATATTAAAAAACTCAATACCTCATTCATGTCATCTCCGTCCACATTGTCTTCCGCCAAACGAATAATTCCAAACGACGAAGTAAAGTTATTGCTGCTTTGGGGGGGATGGCAAAGGTGATACAACTTTGGACATCTTAGCCTTCCTCTTCTTCTTGCAACTAGAGACAATGCGTTGCGAGCTAGATAACCCAACCCAATACCGTTTCTTCCCTTTAGCCTTTTCTTCAAGCTTCTTCACCCTAGCTGTTAAATCATTCACCTGATTGACTAACCAATTAACATCCACCGGCCCACAGTCTGTTTTGACTTCAACCATTTCGTCATTCTTAGCAATCTTTCTGGGCCGTATTTTGCTTTATATCTGCGTGGACGGGTGTTTCCTTTTACGGTCAACCAAGTGTTTTTTGTGCATCCGTTGAACAGGTTTTGAATCATGCTCGATCAGATCCTCTGTAGCGTCTCCTCCAGACCACATACGCTTACTGAATATATGACCAGTCCTGCACAATTCCTCCAAATAGTTGACTTTCCTATCTTTAATTTTGTCGTCAAACTCACCCCATCCATCGTCACTTGGAATATCAACAGGTATGAGTGGACAAACAACAAGCTGTTAAAAAAAAAAAGTTAGACCAATTCACCCCATCTACCTCTTTAAAATTCCAAAGTGCCACCCACCAAAAACTTACATTCTTATCGAACTCAACATCAAGCACATCAGTGTACGACAGCGAATCGTTCTTAGGAAGTTTGACGCCGGTCCATTCGAGTAAAGTAGGATGCTCCTCATCTACAGACAACCTCCTGGGTAGTCCAGGGATCGCTTGGAAGGCAACAAGCTGCAAAACAAGTGGGAAACCTTGCATTTGTAAAGTAGCCTGACGTAGAAGCTGGCGAAAATCAACAACAGTCGCATCGGATTTCCCTTGGCTTTTACGTGGGGGGAGCATGCAACAAATTGTTTTCATAAACGATCCTCTGCCCCAAGGAAACGCCATAAATGAATCTATGCCAGCCAACATCTTAACATACTTGAGGGTTGGCTTGTGAACTTGAGCGTTTGCGATAAGAACACCGTCTACTATAAGCAAGAGCGCAAGTCTCAATCTTCGGCCAGATTCCATGTCCTTGTCGTGAAGAAGCATTTCGCCGATATCGCCTAATGTGGTCTTCTTGTCGTTGCCAATTAACTCCTTCCAATAAGGATCCATCTTATCACCATTACTAGGTTGAAAATCAGGGTCATAGTCTTCCGGAAATTCGCCACACGGCAAGCCAGTGGTGTATCCAAATTCCTTAAGACCAAACCTCAAAGGGTATCCACCAAAAACTGTCCACAGCTCATATTTTTTTTTGGTTACAGATTGTCTGGTCAACAAGCAATGGATGAGTTTACATGAGATGGGACACCTAGCCGCTGGAAGTGTAAATAACTTTCCAAAACACGAACCCAAAATTGACTCCAACTCTTTTGTTCCCTTCAGTGATTTTTTAAGGAAAGTTAACGTATCCGGCTTCGAATACACATTTATTCGGTTTATGGGATATCGATCGGTAGCAAACAAACGGCTGGGTAACCTCAAATCAAAATCTGTTGATTCTTCCAAACCTGGACCTAGAACAATCAAAACAGAGTAAACAAAAAACTCAACTCATCAAACGACCGACAAGACAACAATCAAATTATCTCATACACTGTCAAAATCTAACAATCAGGACAAAATGCAAATGGAAGGAACGACAACTTAAACCGATAACAGAGCCAAGATTTAAAACCTGTCATCTTACACGCAGAGAGAGATTTTCTATTTCTCCGACCTGCGACCAACTCGCCTTCTTGATCTTCTCTAGTTACGCTGCCGATTTTCTCTCGTCGCTGACTGTCTAGGGTTTCCTTTCCCATTTTTACTCCGTATTTTTACTCTTTCGATTCAGTATTTTTACTCAGTCAAATACACAGACGGTTGACGTATAGAAGGACATCATTGTAAATGAACAACAAAAAAGTGACCAAATAGCTGGAAGTGTCTATTTTGAAACTTGGAAACTGCAAAGTGTCTTTAAGCGTAAATAACTCATCTTTCTATGTATCTTATACTATGCATAGGCTAAATTGTCATATACAATATAGAAAATGCTATTTTTTAATAGGACTTTGGAAAAATGTTAAAAACTAATGAAACTAAAAAGTCCCTAATTTTGCAAAAGCTATGTTTAAATATTTCAAACTAGTGAACTTACCTACGCCTGGTGCAGGTTACAAACGTTTGATTCTGTAATTCTTACAAATATTTGCATTTATCTTTGTGCATCATTTGTTTTATGTATTACATTTTTTTATATTTGTTGCGTTTTATTACATATTAATGGATGTGTATGTTGTATTTTTTTTTTCGATGTTTTTAAACATTATATTCGTCTTTTGATTATTTTTTACTGTTAGTATAGAGTTGATGTATTTTTACGTTTCTTAAGAACAAAAACTATTTTTGGTTTTAGGTTTGTATTCTAAAATAGAGTTGTTGTAATGTTTAATTTTGTTAATAAGCCTATTTTTTTTGTTTCAAATACTTAATTGGTTTGTATCTTTGCCCATCTTTTCATCAAATACAATTTGTAATTTAAGAGACTTTTAAAAAATTATAATTGTTTCAAATACTTAATTGGTTTGTATCTTTGCCCATCACATCATAATTCGAGTGCTGAACTTCTTGCTTCTCAATGCTATCATTCAACCAAACTTCGCACACAACCGGAAAACCTTGTTCCCTTGAGAAACAAGTAAAAATACCAAGTTGAAGATTAGAAACACATCATCCAAGTGATTCTTCTTAACCTGAAACTTTGGAAGGCATCCAATCTACCATTCTCTTTAGTTTCCTTACTACATGAATCATCATCGTCACTGTGACTTTTGTGTTTCCTTCGACGGTGGATTTATGTCGTTTCTCCAATGAGCCATTAGCTTCTTCTACATGTTGTTTTGATAAAATCATCATGGATCAATTGGCGGAATCATTTAGCTTTGACTTCTTCTTCTTATTCTCTTGGAAGACTTATCACTTGACACCACATCTTCCATGGCTATAAACGCCATTTCATATCCCTTGATATACAATGAGTGACCTTGCATCCTCGAAAAATATAAAAAGGAACAATATTCATATATATGGAATCTCAAATTATAGAGAACAGAGTTAACAAAGAAACCTCCCAAACTTATGCTTGTAAATCGTCTGAGAGGCAAAGAGAGAGAATACATCAAGAAAATTGATATATTACACTCCAAAATCATTAAAGACGATATTTGGAATAAAGGGTCCTCGTGAGAACCATCAAACAACAACATTTTGAAGACAGGGTTCTCGCCATAACCATCAAAGCAAGCCACAACAGAACCTACCGTAATTGATTCTCATGTTAAGGATTATGTTTTCACAAAGAAACTGTTCTAGGTTAAATCTCGCAGTCTCGAGTTCAAACTCATGGCCGAGACACCACATGGATCGATGCATCCCTTCTTGTATGGTCCAATGTCTTGAAAGATGACAAAACTTTTAATGTCTTATATTTGTATGGTGTGACATATATAATCTCGATCTAGAATGTTCTAGTTGATGTACGTTCACAGGAAATCCAATCAGGATAACCAAGACTGAAATGTAATTATCCTCAGTTTTAAGGTTAAAGAGTTTTGCAGCTGACATTGAGGCAAGGCTTCTATGTGCATTCCATTTTTGGTCTGGTAAGCCATCTTTTCAATCTTTATGTAGTCATAGAAATCATCACTCACAAAGCTTTTCCTTTTAGTTAAAAGAAAAAATATACAACAATATATGCAAGGCATATACAATATTTTTATAGGTTCTGCTTTCGTATGTATCACCTCCTACAATAAACAATGTTGAATGAATGTTTTCTTGTAAAATTGCAAACAGTATACTGAAGGCATTCATTATGGTGTGTTTATGATATTCATAAACCATAATTCTTCATGGAGATGTTTAAAGCTTAATCCAAGCTATCTTCAATGACATCCTTTACAGCTCATTCGAGATCAATTTAAAAATAGACAAAACTCATAGAGGTTTTTGCAGCCATCATCTTTACAAACTTCAACTCTTAGTCATCGTCTCCCTCCTATATGATAACACAAAACGACATTTAACACAATCAAAATATTCGAACCAGTATAATACTCAAGACAGCAATCCAGGACACAAGCAACCACGTCAAATCTATTTACCCGCAGATTCCATCGCAAGATAAATGAGGAGATGTAGGAAACATTAGAAGTTGACCACCAAACAACTTGACCTTTAAGAAAGAAGAGAAGCCAAAATAAGCTAAACAAAACATGTATAATACATAAAATTTCGAACAGTGAGCGGAGTTATAAACGAAAACAGAACAAAGGATACACAAATCTAAGAACAAATAACAAAAAAAAAGGAGACAGACCTAAAGCTAGGAAAGACCGAAGCAAAACAAAAATTATAAAAGGGGGTATATATAGATTAATTTCTACATATATTCTAGAGTTTTGATCGTTGCCACACTATCTAACTTACATGTTTGGTCGATTGTGAGTTTTATACGATAACATTTTAATAAGTGTTTAGATAATCTATTAACAAGTCTATCAGTTTATTATATTATAAACCATCTAAAATCAAAATTAATAGACCTGGGTTTCGATTTTCTCTACAGCGGTATGTTTTAAGAGCATCTCCAATCCTACCCCATTTCTTACTCTAAATGCAATTTTGGGGGAAATTCTTCTCTAATCCTACTTCATTTTCATTTTCAAAATGGGGGAATGCCAATTTTTCTTCCAAATATGGAGTAACCCCATTTTCAACTCCATTTTGCAGGTGAACTTTTTAAATTACAAATTAGCCCTTCACTTTTTATAACTTCTTAAAACTATATATTTAAAAAAAAAAATAAAGGATAACTAAATTTAAAATTAAGAATAAAAAATACAAAATAAAATAACATTAACTGAAATTAATGATAACATAAAATTAAAATACATAATAATTACTGAAATTAAAATAGCATAAAATAAATTTAATACAACAACTGACTAATAAAAATTCGGTAAATTGCTTCTAGATCCATTTAAATTAAAAGTTACTTCGTTTTGTTATTTGAAATGTTATGTAATGTTATTTTTATATTATAATGGTTAAATTTAAAATAAAATTCTAATTTATAAAAGTTTTAAAAGAAAGAAAAATGGATTTATTTGTAATTTTAATAAATAAAAAAAATTATTAATAATTAACAATAATATAGAAAAGAAAGAATATATTTAGAATATTCTTTTTAGAGTTAAAAATGGAGAAATACATTGGAGAGAAATCCAACTCCATTTTGCAGTTACTCCATTTTTGAGATAAAAATGAAGGAATACATTGGAGATGCTCTAAATGGAATGTATATATCATCAAATAAGAACCAATAAAAAAAATTACACTTAATTTTTTCAGCCAAAACTCATTACGAAGTTAACACGTCAGCAAAACTCTATGAAACTCGATGTGGAACTGACACATCAATTTTTCAATACACAAATAAGCATATAGATTCATAGCTTATTTATTTTGTATTTCTTTTCCTAATTAACACTCACTCTGAAAAAAAAAATCAAAAGAGCAATAAATTAGTGAAACCAAATAACCAATGATCAAAAACTTTTGAATACGACTTATGCTTAGTTACTTTTATTCGAATATGGGGTTAGTTAAGTTCAATGTTGATAGACGCTAACAAAAAAAAACAAAAAAACAAAGACAAACAAACTGAGCGTTTGATTTAGCGTGTGCTGTCGAGAGAACGTACGTGCTTACGTTTTGTTTAATAAAATTTTAAGATGATAATCCAATTGTTTAAGAGTACAACCATATGCTATTGTATTTTAATTCGGTCAAATGCCTAATGTTGGATTGTTTAATATCCACGAGGAAAATCAAATGATAAAACTAAATAATTTATTAAAGAATACTGTTTAAGATAAATTGATAGGGTACCTTAAAATTTTGTTAGAAATTTGAAACATACACTAATATTTTTAAGAGTTTGAAATACACGAATGTCAAATATACTTTTTAAAATAAAATTGATATTTTAGTCCTTAATAATGACTAAACCTCTAAACGAAGTAAGTTCTAACCGCCCATTTCAAACGTTTATTTAATCATGGTTT